TTTTATTAATTTTGAATTAATGGGAGAATTGAGCTTGAATTCAAGGGAGCTAAGTTAATTCATGCATGCATGTCCATACCATGGAGTTTTGAAGTTTATTTTTATGAAATCCTCACATGCATGTTCTTATCATAGTTAAAATCCAAGAATTCACTATGTTTTGAGTTGAATGTTGCACATGATCATGGTTCGAGAAGCTCAAGATCAAGAAACTTCATGCATGTTGTGTTCTTGCATTGTTTATAAAACTTACATTGAAATTGTGTTCAATTGGCATACTTTTGGGCTTTGATTTTATGAAATGATCTTCAAAACATGTTGTGTTATAAGTTTCTAAGTGTGTTCCAGAAATTTGGCCCAAAAAAATGAGTTTTGGCATGTTTGATTCATGGTTTGAAGCTTGGGAACAAATCCCGCTCGAGCGAAGGATTCCTTCCTCGCTCGAGCGAAGCCTTTGATTTTGGACTTACGCTCGAGCGGAGAAAGTCTCGCTCGAGCGAAGCTCCTATTTTCAGCAACTTTGCAAAATGTTTTCTAAGTGTATTTTCGCATCCTCATCCCATACTAGGCATTCTTAGGCCTAGTTTAAGACATTTAGATAAGGATATCGTTGTAGAACACACCAAGGAAAATTAGGGATTTCGTTATGATTTTTCCCATCTGTGTAGCTTAGTGTGTTCAACCTGTGAACTGTGTAGGGTTGGCAACTGGGGAGACACGCTCTGGCATACAGTACCCAGAACTCTGTGAGTAACGATTGTGTAAAGATATGTTCACAAATGATTATTTTCTGAACAACTGAACTGTACTGTTTCCTGAACTGATTACTGTTAACTAAATGAATGTATGCCCTTTATTTCTGAACTATACTGTGGCATCCTTAGCACCTACTGTTTACTGTTACTGTTACAGAGATCTCTGTCGATTCCCTCGTAGAGCCACTACTGTTTACTGACTGATGGCCATCATTACTGTTTGGTCTTTTAAGACCTACTGTTACTGATATGCTAATGGATGTACCACATATGACTGTTTACTGTACTGAGCAACTGAAATACTGATTGAAGTGAACTGTTTTCATTACTGTAAGGACATTCATTCTAAACCCCTTTACGCTTTATGTTATTCACTGGGCTTTAGCTCACTGCTCATATATATATGTAGGTGTACAGGCACCGGATCAAAGCTTGAGGCGTCAGGGTTTTCCAGTTTTGTCAAGCCAACCACCGTGCCTCACTGCGAGGTTCCGAGTTCGCCATGCTATGGCTTGGGGTGTCTTTTCCCCCGCTAGTCCCTGTTACTGTTTGTATTACTGTACTGCACTGCTGTACTGTACTGTTATCAAGGGATTAGATCCCTGTACTGAATGTCTGTAAATGCTTGTATAGCCTGTACTGTTGTGATTATATGAATGCATGAAAAATCTTTTTGGCATACAGACTGTCACAGCTCATTGGGCATTGTTTATTTACTGTATTGGCTTCCGCCAGGCCCTGTACTCTGTTTTACTGGATTACTGTTCTGCAGGCCTTCGGTAATCTCGGATTACTGGCCGGTTACGGTGCTAAACCCATAGGGCCGGGTTTGGGTCGTGACAAAAACGTTGGTACAAGAATGAAAACAGAGCAACCCAATCAGAAATCCTCCAAAAAGATTGTGAGATTCTAAACAACCAAACGAAGAAAAGAATCAAGAAAAATGGAAATAGGTACCAAGTGTTTTTTTTTTTTTTTTGTGTGTGTTGATCTCTGTCTTTTCTTTTTATGAAAAAAAGCTGTCTTCTCTCTCTCCACTGTCTCTCTTTATTCCGTTTCTTCACGGCAAACCACCGTCGACGACAACCAAGTTTCCCAAGTTTTAATCAAAACTATCTCTTTAAAATCAACAATCCCAAATTCATAAAAAAAAAGTCTATCTTCAGTCCCAAATCAAAATATTTTCAACTAATTCAAGCAAAATCTATCTTCTTGGTTCGTGTTTACACTCGTTGGTGATTAGCGATTTGAGAGAGAGATCGTTTCTTCTCATCGGGGAGTGAGAGAGATTGTCGGCGGTGAGTAGCAGAGAGATCATTGGCGGCGCTGAGTGATAGATCGTCGTCGGTTGGCGATGCTGAGCGAGAGATTGTTAGCGGTCGATGGTTTGAGAGAGAGAAAGCAGAATTGTGAGGTGTTTCAGAAATAGATGAGAGAGAAATGAACGTGGTTTTCATGCAAGTTTGGGCAACTGGGCGAAAACATTCGGCCCATTCGAGGGCTTCTAATTCGAGCTACGTAACGGGATTGAGATATAAATATGAGAGAAGGCTAAGCTAAAAAGGAAAAATAAAAAAATGGATAAATTTAGTTTAAAAAGGACAAAAAGAAAAAATCCAAAACAAATCTCATGGTGCTATTAGCTATAGGGTTGCAAATGAACCAAATTGTTTATGAATAAGTTTGGTTCGGCTCGACTCGTTAAGGGCTCAGCTCGTTTAGTAAACGAGTTCGAGCTCAAATATTAGGCTCGTTTAGTAAACAATCCGAATTCGAGCTCACACAAGTTCGACTCGTTTATTTATATTTAAATTATATAATAAATATATTATTTATATATTAAATAATATAAATAATATATAAATAATTATATAAATACATTATTTATATTTTTTATTTAAATAATACAAAATAATATTAAAAAAAAAATTATCGAGCCGAGCCGAGCCGAATTCGAGTTTTATTAATATTAACGAGTCGAACCGAACTCAAATCCAGCTACTTATTGAGCCGAACGAGATCTGCTCTACTCCGTGTTCCGTTGGGAAACGGATGAGCTGGTAGTAAGTTAAAGGGACCGCTTCCATTTGGTGAATCCATAGACGGCCTAGTATGGCGTTGTAAGGGAAAGGTGTATTAATAACTAGAAGCTCTGTCTGGAGGGTCTTCGTTCCTACCACAACTGGCAACACTATTCTGCCAAGCGGTCATTCTGGCTGTGAATTAAAGCCAACTAACGGAGCTGCCGCTGGGGTGAGATGCTACTTGAAGAGGCCAAGCTTTCTAAACAAGTCATAATACAATATGTCTGTTGCATTGCCTTGATCTACCAGGACTCGTTTTACGTTAAACCGTTTCCCAACTCCCATAGTTATAATCAGTGCATCGGTATGTGGGTGCTGTATGCCTTCTAAATCCTTTCTAGTAAATGAAACTGTGCACAAGGGGAATTTGGGTGCCGTGCGTACCTTTTTCGATGCAGGCTTTACTGACATGACCTGCTAAATTTGCACAGCCTTTGCAATCTCTTCTTTCAGTACCTCTTCACATTCCTGGGTCGCTGTTCCATGGATCACATTTATTATCAGCCGAGGTGGGTGCTCAGTGTTCGGTTCTAGTGGTGGGTTCCCGGGCTCGGTCACTGCTTTATCCTGATCAATGTAATCCCAGAGGTGTCCAACTGCTACTAGGTCTTCCAAGTGTTGCTTCAGTGCTGATCAATGTAATCCCAGAGGTGTCCAGTTGCTACTAGGTCTTCCAAGTATTGCTTCAGTGCTCTACAATTCTGAGTCATATGCCCCCTGTCTTGGTGATAGGTGCATCTAAGCTTCTGATTATGCCGAGCGGAATCTCTCAACATTTTCGGCGGCCAAATAAAGAAGGGGTCTCTCTTGATCTTTTCTAGGATACGATAGATGGGTTCCTTGAATACAGTCATGACTGTTTTATGAGACTTGGACTTATCTACCTCATTCACTGTGAGTCCCTGGTGTTCTCCTTGGTCTGCTTTCTTCTTGTGCTGAGCTGTTTGTTCCACAGATGCTTCCTCGATGGGGATTTGGTCATCTTCGAGGCGAACGTACTGCTCAATCCTGGCACGTAAATCTTTCAGTGCTGTAGGCGGGCGCTTGGTAAGTGACTGTCTCAATTTACTTTCCGAGCGCAGTCCATATTTGAAGGACATAACAGCCATCTGCTCACTGCAAACGTTTTCCTCTAAGTCATTGTATTCTTCCCAATACCTCCTAGCATAACTGCGCAGTGTTTCCTCCTGTTCCTTTCGGAGACCGAACAGTGTATCCGACTCTTTCGGGATCTTAGTGTTGGAGACAAACCTGGCTAAGAACTTTTCAGAGAGCTGCTTCCAGTTATAAATTGATCCAGCTGGGAGTCGATCGAACCATCGAAGTCCAGTTTCCCCCAAGCTGGATGGAAAGACTTTGCACATCAGTGCCTCATCTCGGCTCCATAGAGACATCATCTGTCTATAATGACTAATATACGTCAATGGGTCTAACTTCCCATCATACGACGTATACTTTGGCGCGGTGAATTTCTTTGGGGATCTCATGGCCTCAATTTCCGGGGAGAATGGGGAGGAGACAAGCCTATCCAACACTCGGTGCTCTCTCTGGTGGATGGTATGGTCTAAATGATCTCGGCGTTGTTCGTTCTACTTGTTGCCCATTAGCCAAGTAAGAAGGTCTTAAGGAGGGTACTCAGTCTGTTGGCTAACTGTTTTCTACCTCTTAGCCCTTCTCCGGCGTGACCCACGAGTGTGGCTGCTCGCCGCTTCACTCTGTACCGGGATTGGTTGGCTTTGTTGCCCAGACTCATTTCTGGGAAACTTCTTCACTGGTGGTTCTCTAGATAAGCTCCTCCGTCGTAAGCGAGAGGGCTCTGCTTCAGTTCTCTTCTCCGTTGGATCGCCTAGCACCCTTTTGAGTTGCACTTTTAGCTCTTGTATCTCCATCCCCATAGAATCTATGATACGATCTCTGTAATCTTTTTCCAGTAGAAAGTGATGAGAAGAACTTCCAGCGAAGGGCAATCGATGCTCAACAGATTCAGGAGTCCGGTTATTGTTTCCAATTTGTTCTTCTAAGACTGTCGGAAGTGCCAAGCCTTTGTCCTTTGTCTTCTCTGTCTGTGGAGTATGTGCCGAAGGTGGGATGTCCTCAATCCCCATCGCCGGAACTGAGTGCAAAGCTCAGAGACAAAGTGATCCACGCTCACCGCACCAATTGTGCGTACCGGATACCGCACTAGATGAAAGTGGATCAGGGCTCCACACTCGGTTGGACTATCCAGGGAATGAGGTCCCTGCAGCAAGAAGCACCGTAAAAGCTACCAGGCCGGGGTTAGCCGGATAACCCCTCCGGTATGGGAATCAGTGATCGGGGAAGAAGTGTAGAGAGTTGAGTTTGTAAGTAAGTAGGGTTCAGCTTGGATCGGTTACCTTCAATATGAAGTTTATGTAATATATATAGAGTTCCTTGCTTGTTTCCCAAGATGATTTCATGGAGCTTTGGTACTGCCCAATTTCCTTTTAGCATGGCCCTCGGTGGGGGACCATCTGGCAGTTCTCAAAAGGTGCTTATACTCATTGTGGTCATGCTGATAACAAACCACATTCTTTTTGTTTAACTGTTTCTGTGATTCTAGGTATAGGGGACCAGCTAGGAATGGCAACGGGGCGGGGCAGGGCGGGGCCGGGGACTACCCCCCCGTCCCCGATCCCCAAAAGTAATACTCCCCCCGTCCCCGTCCCCGATCCCCGACGGGGACCCCTATCCCGGCCCCATCCCCGCCCCCGATCGGGGATCGGGGATCCCCGACCCCGGATAATCCCCGATTTTTATTTTTTTTTTATATATGTGAAAATCTATAAACATCAATTAACATTCTCAATCACCCTTCACTATTGGATGTATAAATTTTGAAATTTATTAACCCTAATAGTTTCATTTTTTTAATTAATTAGAACTGTAGCAACATCCATAAATCTGTAGCAACATCCATCAGTTGGAATATCATTTTTTTAATTAATAAGATCAATAAACATCCATTTAAAAAACATCTTCTATAGCAACATCCATAAATGAAGCTATCATCAATAAATCTGTAGCAACATCCATAAATCTGTAGCAACACCAATAAATCTGTAGCAACATCCATAAATCTGTAGCAACATCCATTTAAATCAATAAATATCAATAAACATCTTGTAGCAAAACATCAATAAACATTAATTCAGCAGCCCATACATACACAACCCACACACAAAGCATCCTATAGCAACAAAATAACACAACCAAAACATGTGTCCAGCATCACAGAAGAAAATTCAACAAGTAGCAAAGAGAATAATTAATCCCAAGCACAACCCGCAAGGGATAAGTTACCCAAAAATTGAAATTAAAAATAAAAATAAAAATATCCCCAAAATAGGAAGAAAGCACACAACATTAAAACTAACCATTAGAAGCTTATATTACATCATGTAGAAGCTTGTATTACAACAAATAGACCTGCTGTTTGAGGTCTCACAAAGAACAAGGGAAGAAATTACCACACTGTAATATATAATATCAATTTGAAATAATGAAACTTGGATGAAAACTAACCATTGAAGATACTAATCCAACTAAGTAAAAGAAATTGCAATCATGGAAGCATAGAATTAACAACTAATCTCTCATGAAGATAATAAAACACTACAATATAAATTAAAGAGGCAAAGAAACCAGATTAAGAAATTAAGAAAAATAAATGAATGTTCTATGCCCTTGAAAGAGAAATACATAATTTGTGATCTACAAAACTAGAGCACTTGATATTCAATAAGCCTTTCTTGTTTCCTACCAATAAACATTTTGTGACCTACAAAAGTAGAGCACTTGGTACTCAATAATCGTTCCTTGTTTTCTAAGAAGTGTTGTGATGCATAAAAACATCAAAGTTTATTTAGTAATATTGGCTGTAAGAGGGCCTTTTTTTAAAAATTTTTTTATGTAGTTTAAAAAAAAAACACAATCTTTTCTCTTATTTTCTTCTCTCTCTTAACTTGACAAATTATTTCTTTTCTTTTCTATTCTAGCTTGCCAAACATAGTGTAAAACTAGCTTTACTTTACTGAAACATAGCCAATTTGTAGAAACTTTCCCATTCTTCACCAAATAATTTACATTTCTGGAGACTAAGATTTGAACCTATTTTAAATTTTTCTTAAACTCTACAATCAATTAGTGCTATTTCATGGATAAGTGAAATTGAATTAAATCTGGTTTCATGAACATGTGCAGGAGAATAAAACAAGGCTAGTAGTACAAGTCATGAACAATTCTAATTGACCAAATAATTTGATAATCAGAATAAGGGTTCATCTTTTCCATGAAAGCAAACCTGTACACAACCTCTGTGAAGAGCACCACCTCCAAGATACTTGTTAGCAAAATCCACTTCAAGAGCTTCACAAGATTGATCTTCTATCAAGCCAAACCTGTAAACCTACAACAACAACAAAAATAAGCTCCATAAATGTAAATCTACAGATTAGCTAACCAATCTTTGTTCCATATCATGATCAAGATCAAAATTCAAAGCATCCAGAAGATTAGAGAGACTCCTAATCCAACTGATTATCAATATAAAATAGATTGAAATCTGGGAAACCAGATCTATATTGTAAAAAATATAAAATAGATTCAAAGACAAAAAAAAAAAACAGATTCAAAGACTCCTAATCCGGTTGAAAAAGGTTTAATATAAAATAGATTCAAAAAAAAAAAGATCTATATATATCCAGGGACAGATCTATAAAATAGATTAAAAAAAATACAGATCTATAAAATAGATTAAAAAAAAACACAAATCCAGCTGAGAGAGAGAGAGAGAGAGAGAGAGATACCTAAACAGAGATGGGAGGCGCGGTGGTGACGGAGGGAGGATCGTCGGTGACGAAGGGAGGATCGCCGGTGACGGAGGGAGGCGCGGCGGTGACGGAAGGAAGAGAGAGGAACAGACCAGTGGCGAGAGAGAAAGAGAGAGGAGCGGCGTGAGTGTGGGAGGCTTGAGTGTGTGTGTCTGTGAAAGTGAAACCCTAACAAAGACAAGCTTATGCCTATATATATATCCAGGGACAAAAGGGTCATTTTACATCGGGGACCATGCGGGGCGGGGCCGGGGTCAGGGGCCGGGCCGGGTCCGGTTCTGAAACACATATCCCCGTCCCCGGCCCAGATATAATCGGGGATGGATTTTTGAATACCGTCCCCGGCCCGTATGGGGATATTTTTCGGTGAATAACCGCTGAATTCGGGGTCGGGGGGTCGGGTCACCGTCGGGCCGGTTTCAGATTGCCATCCCTAGGACCAGCTGAGGTGGCAACTTGCACATGCATATACTCATAACTTCCACGTTTCTTCGAGAGGTTCCCTTAGCTCGGCACCGTAATACCCCGGCTCGGCCCTTTGCGAGGCTTCTGTTGGGATGGACTGGCTCATTCAGATATTTGTGTACGCATTCGGCCTACTTTGGTTCTGATGATGGGTTCAACCTATCAGTTCGGCCCATAGAATGGGTCCTTCAGCTTGACCCTAGCCCAGTATCACAGCTGGACTGGCCTTTCCACTGCGAGTTGGGCCCCAAGTGCTTGAGGACTTGGGTGGACTATTAGTAACGGAGCTGGACTTAGTTGGGTTGCCCACATGCTCATCTGATCTATTTGGATTTGGGCTTGGGGGATTGGACCGGCCCAAGGCTTGGGTCCGACCCATTTCTTATTTAGCCCCTTCATAGATATAAATTTTGGTATATAATTTATTTGTTTTTATATCAAACAAGTTTTTCCCAATTGACTCCCATAGCATCAATAGCGATGGGATCCAACAGGTCTCATGCGAGTTCTTCAATTATGCACACTGTTGAGTTCCAGTGATGAAACTCTAATCAATTAATTAATGAAATCCTATATATGAATGGACATGACAATGCTTACTCTGTACTCCTTAGTTAATACAATTTGATATGTGTCTATTGAATTGATAAATGCAGACATGAGACTGTGGGTGTAGTAACTGAGGTGGGTAGAAAAGTACAAAAATTTAAAGTTGGGGACAAAGTTGGGGTGGGGTGTATGGTTGAATCATGTCATTTCTGCGACGGTTGTGCCAAAGATCTTGAAAACTATTGTCCCAAAGTATTACTCACATACAATTCCACATACTATGATGGAACCCCAACCTATGGAGGTTACTCTGATATCATGGTGGTTGATGAGCACTTTGTGATTCGCATCCCCGACAACCTTCCTCTTGAAGCCTGTGCTCCTCTTCTTTATGCTGGAATCACAACTTATAGCCCTCTACGATACTTTGGACTCGACAAGCCTGGTATGCAGGTGGGTGTGGTTGGTCTTGGTGGTCTTGGCCATGCAGCTGTGAAATTTGTCAAGGCCTTAGGTGTTAAAGTAACAGTGATTAGTACCTCCCGTGGCAAGAAGAAGGAAGCTGTTGAACGACTTGGTGCAGATTCATTTTTGGTTAGCCATGACCCAGATCAGATGCAGGTAACGGCCCTTTTTTTTTTTTTTTCCCAAGTCATGGAACACTTTCCAAAAAGTAACCGCCCTTTTTTTTTTTTTTTCCCAAGTCATGGAACACTTTCCAAAAATGGAGAAATTTTTTTTGGGGTACATTTTACCCTCTACCCCACTCTAGCAGGAGTCTCGTATATTGGGTAGCTCATAAGATTTTTTCAAGTTAAGAATATTGTTATGATTACAAATTCTCGGGTATTCTTGATTAGATACTTATTTTCTTGTTGATTATGTAAATAGGTTGCTATGGGTACAATGGACGGTATCATAGATACTGTTTCTGCATCTCACCCTGTCCTACCATTGATTGGTCTGTTGAAATCTCATGGAAAGCTCATCTTGGTTGGTGCACCAGAGAAGCCACTTGAGCTTCCAGTCTTTCCCTTGCTCATGGGTAAGCATTTAACATAAACTAATTTGTTTTTAGGAATGTAAATAGATTCATGATTCACTTTTACATACAAAAAATTCAACATTCACATGCACCCATGTGAGCATTCAATAGAGATTGAATTCTGTGTACCTGACTTTCCTTGGGCATAAACATATCGGTAAAGTTGGTGTTTGTTGCTTAATGAATTAATTTTGAAAATGCCATGCCCACATTTCTATGTCTTTAATTCTTATTGGCTCTTCGAATGACAGGAAGAAAGATAGTGGCTGGAAATTGTTGAATTGGCTGCAGATTCTGGAGGTCACCCCATGTGAAAGGGGTGATCCTCATGTCAACAATGGAAGGCCACCAACCTCATGTCAACAATGGAAGGCCACCAACCATGTCAAAAGTCAAAGAATGAGGGCTCTCCCACCTACTCCTTTGTGTATAAATAGAGACGGGAGGGAGAGGATATAGATATCAGATGTGGAGCTGAGAGGTGTGAGTTGAGAGCAAAGAGAGAGAGAATTACAGAGAGTGTTGTAATTCACCATTTTGTTCAATATAGTGAATCCGCTGCTCGTGGACGTAGGCGACTTGCCGAACCACGTTAAAACTTGTGTGTTATTGCTTGTTTGAGTTCCCTGGTGTGCCCCCGATCCTCAACAGAAATGGCATTGGAGGCATAAAAGAGACGCAAGAGATGATAGATTTTGCAACAAAACACAACATAACGTCAGACATTGAAGTGATACCAGTGAATTATGTGAATACTGCAATGGAGCGCCTTGTAAAAGCTGATGTTCGATATCGATTTGTGATTGATATAGGGAATACATTGAAAGCTGCTTAATCTTCTTGCCTTGTGGTTCTTGAATCTTTCTTTTTCTTTTAAAGTATGTCTCTGGTTGTTGGATAAGAATATTTATGGGTTTTACAGTCATGTAGTTTTGAACTTAATTTATCTTGTGTTATCCTTGTTGGGGACTCAAAATTTCAACAGTATCTTATATCTCAATTTGAATAAATGAAATTAATATATTAATGCCTATTTCATGTTTGTAATTTTCAGAAATTTTTTTTTTTTTTCAAAAAATATCTTTACATTAGTTTATAGAACTAAAGATAATTTTTTTGCATTTGAATTTTGGTAACCCACCTACCTTCTCTAATGGTATGCTAAAAGACTTGTTATTGCCAAGCTCAATTTTATGTTCTTCAATGACTAACAACTTGACAAACCTAGAATTTTTTTTAAGTGACATTGTTAAAGTAACTTACATCAAAGACAGCTTAAAATTTCATTGGATTATGAAACTAAGGCCAAGTTTGGCAATTACAAAATAATTTATCTTTTTGTCTTTTTATCTTTTTTTCATCACATCACCTCTCTACTTTTTTGCTCATCTTTTCATAAAAAGACAAAAAATGTACTTATTTAGGTCATCCCAATCAATCCCTAAATATGATGAGTGTGTGATGAATTATTGAGGTTCGTATATGGGAGTAACTCGGAAAATTATTAGGTGTTCTTAAAGCATCACGTATTCATGTTCCTCCACTAATCATTATACATTATATTTTTTTATATTTTTCAATTACTCAACACAAAATCGTTTCTCTTTTTTTCACCAATCACAATACCCTAGAACAATTCCTATAGTGATTGTTATTATATATATATATATATATAATTTAAGACATAAATTTACATTTAATTTTTTTTGATAATATGTAACAAAGTGCATAGTGTATATTACTCATGATAATTATTTTATTATGAGCTAAATTAATTTTAATTTTTTAATATTTTTTGCCATTATGCAAGATGATTATTTGTTTATTTTGACATATAGAAAATGAAAGAATTTTTTAAAAAAATTTCTGATATTAAAATTTTATAAGATAAAAGTTATATAATATTAATGAAACTCAAAATAAAATATTTAATAGATAAAAAATATATAATATTCATGAAACTCCTAATAAAATATTTAATAAAACTTTTGGATGTTTACCAAACAGGCCCTTAGCACACGCTTTCCTTCTGTTGTGAAGGGCCATCGATTACACGAGACATGTTAAGCGAGTTGACCCAAGTGAATCACGTGCAAGTCACACGTGCTCCACAAACCATATCAGATAGGGTTACCTCTCTCTCGTTCCTTCAGGTTCCCCACCACCACTCATATATAAAAGGAGTACTCTTTAGATATATATAGAGAGAGAGAGAGAGAGAGAGACAGAGAAGAGAGCAACTTCTAGAGAGAGAGACGGTGCGAGCAATGGCGGCCACACACCCCAAAAGCACCCCTATTGACCTAAAATGATCCTAGTGATTGAATACATTTTGCCTAGCATTGAAGGCTAGCTACATGTAGCTAGTGAATATGAGTTGAGGCAAAATGTCTAATCATATGCCTAGTGTATTGGAATTGAAAAAAGTGAATCACACTAGGCATTTTAACTAACAAGTATTATATGCCTAGTGCATTGGAGATGCTCACGAGACATGTTAAGCAAGTTGACCCGAGTGAATCACGTGCAAGTCACACGTGCAACACAAACCATATCAGATAGGGTTACCTCTCTCTCGTTCCTTCAGGTTCCCCACCACCACTCATATATAAAAGGAGTATACTCTTTAGATATAGAGAGAGAGAGAGACAGAGAAGAGAGCAACTTCTAGAGAGAGAGACGGTGCGAGCAATGGCGGCCACACACCCCAAAAGCACCCCTATTGACCTAACTCCATGACCTAACAATCCACACAGACCAAGAAAAGTCTACAACTTTATTACTCAATCGTAAACACTTCCACGATCTCTCTCAAACCACCATTCAACCCATACATTTTCTTTTTCTTTTTCTTTTTTCTTTTTGCACTAGAGAGAGAAACTAGGGTTTAGATAATTTGTGTATTCGATTGATAATTTGAATCGGCGGCGATGGATGAGGCGTTGATCGACGACATCATTCGGAGGCTTCTTGATGCGAAGAACGGCCGTGTGCCGAAGCAGGTGCAGATTACGGAGGCGGAGATTCGGCAGCTTTGTGTCGCTTCCAAGGAAATCTTTCTCAGTCAGCCTAATCTTCTTGAACTCGAAGCTCCTATCAAAATTTGCGGTAACACTCTATGGTTTTCAATTGATTCATCTGTTTGACCTTAATAAATTTTTTTTTTTATTTTTTTTGGAATTGATTGAAATTACTAATTGGCTGTTTATGTGCTAAATTTGAATATATAGGCTGAAATTTGAAAATGAATTATGGGTAGTTATGAGTTGATCAGGTTAGATTAGTATTGTTTTGATTATACCATTATTTATTTTTTTTATTTTATATAACAGAAACTAGTGTTCTTGGTAGATACAAAATATTTTGAGTTCATGTGCAATTTCAGCTGCTACGTTTTGTTTCTTCTTTAATTGGACTTCTCATCATGCACTTGTATGTTTGAACAGGACTGCATTAATAAAATCAGTACATCTGATAAATATGTAAGATGGTGTATCCTACATGAAACTGCATCCTGTTTTCCAGTAGGTTGTTCCCTGAAATGATTAACAACTTCATGGCTTTTTTGTGATACTTCAAGCAGATTCATAATGGTATCTGTTGTGTTTTTATTTTAATATAGTTAAATCTAGGCAAATATTTTTGTGATCTTTTTCAGTCACACTTGCTTCCACAACAGTTTGACAGCTAATTGATATAAAATCAGTGCTATCCCAGCAGTGGGGTTCAATTGTTAATGCAAGCTAGCTTTACCACGCCCGAATATAGGGGTTTTGAATGGTTTTCTTTAGCTTTAGTAAAGGTTGCTCATTATAAGTAAATTAATATTTATTACAATGAGGCGATCTGGCACCTCAATGTTTACCTGTGCAAATTGAATACTACTTATTTCAAAAGCTATCCATAATAAATTATTAGTTTTATTTTATCTACTGATTGAATTCTCTTAGGTATTTTTTGTTTGTGCAAGTTTACTTGACAGGTTGTTTTATTCCATTTTTATGAGTTCTACCTTGAACTTGGATGAGCAAAATCAGGATGTGTTAGAGTTTGAACTCTTTTGGAAGGTGCAAGGCTGAGATAGATTTTGATCATGCCTGAAAGTGTGGCCTGTTGATCTTTGAGCTTGAAACTTGAGTTTTGTCTGGCTTCTTTAGGCTTTTGAATGAATTAAGTGACAAAAGTAGCTCGACCAGTTAGCAGCTGTTGTTGCTACTTGAGCCTGAACTGCTTGTGTGATTAATGAATGAACTGTTCTGTTTCGTTATTATCTTTTGATATTCTGGTTATTTCAGAAATTGATATTGTATTGGAGTATGGATTGGAATTTTGATTTCCTTTTCATTTCAATGAATAATATAATGAATAGTTTGTAGTCTATGGCCTATGGTCTCTTCATGTGTATTATCACCACCTTTGGGCGAAGGAACATAAAATTTTGTTTTGGGGGCTCATTAAATGATGTGCATTTATGGTATACACAACCTTCTCCTGTTTCTGTTTGGTGTTACATATGTTCTTTGAAGTGTACTTCTATTTTGTTGATTTGATAAGATAGTGACGTGATGTCATTTCTATTACTTGTGCAGGGGATGTTCATGGTCAGTTTTCTGATCTTCTGCGGCTGTTTGAGTATGGGGGCTATCCACCTGAGGCAAATTATTTATTTTTGGGGGACTATGTTGATCGTGGTAAGCAGAGCATAGAAACAATATGCCTTCTCCTTGCGTACAAGATCAAATACAAGGAGAACTTTTTCCTTCTCAGGGGCAACCATGAATGTGCTTCCATTAACCGTATATATGGGTTTTATGATGAGTGCAAGAGGAGGTTTAACGTCCGTGTTTGGAAGACATTTACTGATTGCTTTAACTGCCTGCCAGTTGCTGCTTTAATTGATGAGAAGATCCTCTGCATGCATGGAGGATTGTCCCCCGACTTAAGAAACTTGGATCAAATTAGGAATATAGCTCGCCCTGTTGATGTGCCAGATCAGGGCCTGATCTGTGACCTACTGTGGGCTGACCCTGATAAAGATATTGAAGGATGGGGAGAGAATGACAGGGGTGTGTCATATACCTTTGGGGCTGATAAGGTTTCCGAGTTCCTTCAGAAGCATGATCTGGATCTCGTCTGCCGAGCTCACCAGGTAAACATATCTGGAGCCACCTATTAATCAAATTGGTTAGTCATGCATGCGTGTGTACTTTATAATTTTGGTCTTTGCATGCACACACTGTTAGAAACTTAGATCACTAAGAATCTGCATTGCGATGTGGACTTAGGGCCGTTTGCAAGAAAAACCTTTCCCTTAGGGAAATATCTAATGATGAGATTTGGGCACTAGTGAAAATATAATATAAAAAAAAAAAACTCCCAAGTAGTACACATTAATGTGTGTTTGGGAGGGGAAAGATTGAATGCATACCTAGCCTTTGGCATAATGCACAAAATAGTGGTCCAAGACTTTGAACCCATAACCTTAAGGTTATTAGGCCAGGTCTTAACCATTGAACCATTGGGCACTAGTGAAAATATGTGACATTTTATTTTGCTTTTATATTATTATAATTTTTCTTTTAAGGGGGCAAGGGGATGAAAGGAATTTTGGAAGCTTTGGGGTGGAAAGAGAAAAACACACACACATCTGCACCTGTTGTTAAAGCCAGACTTGCTTCAGTTGCTCGTCTCACCAAATGCAAGGGGGAAAAATTAACAAATTAACACTGTTTATCCCCCCTGTATACATTACTGCTGTGTTGCTGTACCCAAAAAAATATAGGGAAAAAGGGGGGAAATTTGCTGAAAAAGTTGCAGTTTCTTGTAACCCCCCTCCTCTTTTGGTGGGTGCTAAGTGAAACTGTTTGCTTAGGTGATTTTTATTGTGCAATAATGAATGTTCAGCAATATTGCATTGAGAAATATTATTTATTTCCTGTGTGTCTTCCATTGGGAGTGAGTTGTGACAGCCCCAATATATAGATTTACCTTTTTGGTGGAGCAAAAATGAAAAAAAGGGAAAAGAAGGATGATATCTTGCTATTTTATGCCTTAGTTCTGTATAGATGATGTGAGGACTGCAATGTAGCATCATTTGTTTATGTTTTGGGAGGATGGCTGATCTGTAACTTCGTGGTGTGGTGGTCTTTTTTTTGTGTATAATTTTTTATTTCGTTAAATTAATTTATCTCTGGCTTTGACCTTTGCTACTATTAATCAGGTTGTGGAAGATGGGTACGAATTTTTTGCTAAACGACAGCTTGTGACCATATTCTCAGCACCCAATTACTGTGGTGAGTTTGATAATGCTGGTGCAATGATGAGTGTGGATGATACGCTAACATGTTCCTTTCAGATTCTTAAACCCTCGGATAAGAAAGGGAAAACAGGATTTGGCAACATGTTGAGACCAGGAACGCCACCGCATAAGGTATATCACATTCATGTCTGGGTAAATCTTTTTGCTTAATTTCAGGCAGTGACTCGTCTTTCTGATTGAGTCTATTTTCTATATATTAGGAGGCATATCCTTGATTGTGATTGATGCATGAACTATGATTGGTTTTTGTCGTGTTGCCTACTCACGACAGGAGCAAATCATGCTTCACACATTCAACATGGAGAAATATGATGACAGGAGCATTTTTTCCCATTACAAATATAAAATTGTGGATTTTCTTACATGTACACGTGTGTTTGATGGTTCATTTTCAGGGCGGGAAGGGTTGAATAATCTGCACCAGCACTTGCCATATGATCAAAAGAGCACAGCAAACAGGACCAACCCCATTTGATGCCTCTTGTCCGGCTGCAGTCTACTGAATCATTTTGTGCGGTGTTTGTGGCACTGCACAGGGTTTTGCCTTAATCGTAAAGTTGATGGGTTAAGTGTGTGCCATCTTTTCAGACCGATGGTTTGCATGGAAAACTGGGCCATTTTGGGAAAAGCTCAGGCACCTGCTAAATGTACAATTCAGGTTTCTTAAATTGTGCAAAATGGAATTTGACTTTGTTAGGTTGAACTGTTATTCTCGACACAATCTTGTGTTATTGTGATATTTTTCATTTTCTGTTACTTGCCAAATGGGTAACACCTTTTTAATGCAACTGATTATGTTGGTTTGCTACTATTTTGGAATTATTATGCTGCCTTTCTTATTTTGAATTGTGGTCTTGAAGCATTTTGTTTGTGGTTGGATGTATCTTTTGAAAGTTTTATGACCAGTGATGATTGTTTTTACATGATTTTGAGAAGGGAACAGATTAGTAAAAACTGCTGAAAGCCTGCATGAGCTTTAAGTCGAATCGATACTCGTGCCTGTGGCACCAATCAGCTTTACCTTATCTCATTTTTGCTTGGCAAAAACTTTAGTTGCAAATTTCTAGTAGCAAGTCATGTCAGCTGAACTTTATAATAATTGAAGAAGGCATGCCTAAAAAAAAGGCACTGGCTCCCTGGTACTGGAGGGTGTTGTTGGGGGAGGGCTTATTATGGTCTCATTTCGATAATTTCATCTGTTTAATGTGTAAATTTTGTGTAAATTTTGTTGAGTATTATATATTTGTAAAAAATTATATTTATTGGATATCGATCATTACGTGATTAAATCAATTTTGTATTTAAAAAAAAAAATTGATTGTGACCTTTTTTGGGGACATTTACAAACTCTTTTAGATTTCAATCATTGATGATGTGAGTCTCATATATACATGAGTGTGTCTTATACATATATCAATAGTTAAGATTCAAAGGTGGTTGTGAGTCTTTAAAAAAAAAAAGATTCCAAGTATTTTTTTGAAAAAAAATGGACAGTAAAAAAATAAAAGGTTAACGAAAAATTGATTCGATAGAATAGCTATTAATATTCGATCAACGTAATTTTTTATAGACATATAATACACTCAATGAATTTTACACATTAAACAATTTAAATTATCAAAACGAGATCCAATGCAACCCTCCAGTGCAGACCAGACTGAGAGGAAACCAGCCCCTAAAAAAATAAATAAATAAATAAATAAATAAAAGGTGATGATGCATCCTTTTGGCTAGGGTACTCAAAAAGCAGAGAGATTACGAGACAGAACCAACAACTTACTATCGTTTTATAATACATACTTTTTATAACATAAAATATATATATGACACTTGTAAAAGATTATTTTCAAATATAACAGGAAACAATTTATTTATTTTTTATATAAAAAATTTATATTTTATCTCTTGTATCATTTTAATTTATAGTACTTCAATCAACTTGTTTTTTATCACTAATTTTAAACTTTATATCAATTTAATTCAATTAATAATGCCGATTTTTGTAAGTAATTACTGAGTTTTGTTGAACAAATTTACCTATAAAAACACAGCACATGTCAAGCACATGTCCACATTTTTCATCAAAAATACTAATAATTGTAATTAATAAGACTAATTTTTTAAAAAATCATAAATTCAAAATCAAAATTAATTAAAATTAGAAAGCTCAAAATGACACAGGAAGAAACAAATGACACAGGAATAATCAAAGTACACTAGTACAGTTTGCCCTTATTTTTTCCTTTTATGTAGTTTTTACCAAACACAATTAAAGAGGAATCTCTCCTATTTATGCAAATAAAAAAAAAAAAAGCACAAATTTTTTTTCTTTTTCCTTTCCTAACTTATGTAAGCACTTCTTTTCTTCAGTTTCATTAAGTTTCCAAACAAAGCGTTGAAGGTATTTGGAAAATCCATAGTAAACCATATATTCTCAGTTAAAAGAAAAATTTATAAATAATCCAAAAAGCTAGGCCAAATATATTGTCAGGCACCTATCAAAACAAAACTCCGGTTCCTTCCCAACTCCTATCACGAGAAAAGATTTTCACAACACAACAGCAAGTACTTTGAAGTGTCTATGGAGAAACAGAAATAGATATGCTTCAAACTGTAAAATTCCACAAGAGCAAGACATCAATATTCCCACTTCTTTAACTCCATACCATCAGGAGGGCTACCCTCCACCTTCTTAGAGCCCACTTCTTTCCAATTTGTTGACAGCACAGTCCCATTAGACTCCACCTGCAATGCCAAAAGACCAATTTTAAGCCAACTACAATAATTTGGGGAATTTGAGAAGAGACTTGGAAAGAAAAAATGAAAAGTTGTGTGAAACTAAGTGAAATGTAACTATATTTTATTCATATTTCACCTACCTTTTCTTTTTTTCTTTTCAAACCCCTTCCCAAATCTCCCAACCAAACATGGTGTTAGTGAATTAATGCAAGGGCGTATTACGAAAAGAAATGTTGTGCTTTAATTAGTGAAAGATTAAAAGATGTAATTTCATAACTACTAATGAATGATAAAATATGTGCTAATAGAAAAACTTCCACATTCTTCCTGTAATTTATAAGTCAACCACCCACATTTTGTGGATAAGTCCCTCATGAGAAGTGGGTTAATTAGAGCATAAGTAGTAATGACTAGATTATGAAGGAAAAGAATCAGGAGATGGGTTAATGGGAGAAAAAGTAAAAATAACTAATTAGAAGGAAAAGAACCCCAAAAAAAAATAGATTTAGGCCTTGTTTGGCATGATCTAAAAAAGCCAAAAAGTTAAAAAGTCACTATCGTATTTAAGCCACATCATCTTATATTAGTCACATTACCTCTTTTAACACATCATTTCAAACCCAACCTATACCCAACCCATATTTCATAAATAGTCAAAAAGTACACTTATTTAGATCATCCCAAACCACCCCTTAATATACCACACCACCCTTCTAGTTGATACACACTCAACCTGCAAGACATAATAAACTAGACAAATGGATAGCGGGGGATGAAGATCTCACAAAAGATTTCAGCATGGCTCTTCGCATGTCCTCGTCTGCATTTTTATATATGTCCCCAAACAATTTATTCAAAGCCGCATCACCATCTAGCTTCTCTTCTTTTTCCTGAAACTCAAATTAGCATGCAATCAATGCCTTGCATAGGAAGTGGTTTGAAGGAAACAAAATTGCAGACAAAATTGAAAATGAATGAAATAAAAGAAGTATTCTCCAATATAAAATAAAGGATGGTGAAGATCTGCTAACCTCCTCCTTTACTTGGGCCTCCAACTTATCCCAATCTGTGGTCCTTGGTTTTGAAGATGGGTAACTTGGCCTTTGCAATCCTGGACCTACAAATTCATGAACAAAAGAACTACTGTACCAGAAAGAAATATTGGACAACTTGTTTATTTCACTGGGCTATAACAAAGACCGTATATACAGTACAGACGTTCCTGTGGCTATCGAAGCAAATTTGACCAACCTAACATACATACAAGTATCATACAAGTTTGAAGACCTACCTGATGATACATTTATGCGTTGTGGTACTACTGCAACTTCCTTGCTATATTCAAGAGATGTCCAGTTAATTGCTTCTGCTTTCACAAGACAGATTTCAATTTTGGTCGATAATACCTCAAACCGGCATTTGTCAGGTACTATCTGTTTTCCATGCAGCCCAACACAATCAGAGTTAAGCAACGATATCAATTTTGTATGGACACTGAAAACCTTACATTGGTAATAGGACTTGGCAGTTCAGTTAACAGAAGTGCAATAAAAATATTCAGAATGACAACTAGCTTGTAGCTTCAAAAACAGGCTAGCTAGGATAATGAAACGATAAACGTAACAATGACAGATTGCGTAGCTTTAAACCAATTTTCCCCTCCTCATGGGATCTAAATATAGAGATATACCATCGTAGCTATTATGGGGATGACTTTGAAGGAAGCTAGGCTAAAAGAGAAGGTTAACTCTCCAGGGACAACATAGTGCGATAGGTGTTAGAAGGGTAGCAGAACTTGACAACAAAGAGTTGAACATGTAAAAAAGTAAAATTCAATACCTTTCCAAATAGTCTTGGCTGAAAATGATACTTATTTTCACCAGGGACATCAATAGCAACACTTAGCTGCACAAAAAAGTTAAATAGAATTGATTAGCCTACCAACTTGTCATTAGAAGATAATGAAGTCTTAGGCAGCTGAAAATTCAAGAATAATGATTGGAAGCAGTATTTAACAAGACATAAGAAAAGAAATTGTCTAGTAGATCTGACATACTATCTGTTCTCCGAAGTTGATAGAAGCATTTTTTGCTGGTACACCCTTTGCAAATATTGTCACCACCACTTCTTCAGGCTTCTGATAGTATGAATGCCTGTTTAACTAATCATTGTCAAAAAAACTGTATGGAGCTGGGACAGTATCTCCAGAGGCAGAATACTGCATCCAGGATTAAAAAACAATCTAACAAACTGATATCGGTTACAATAAATTAACATCAATCAAGGAAAATAAATGATGGCATTGGTGCTGACAGCAACAGAAGCAAAGATAGTGCTGCCATCACAATGGCAGCAAGCATTGGCAGCGGTCTAATGATAAAGGCAGCAATTGAAACAACAGATTAAAAATAAAAATAAATAAAAATAAAATACACAAAAAATAAATAATAAAAAAAAAAGAACTACACTTCTAATGCATATCAGAAAAATAATTTAGTAAAAAAAAAAAAATTGACCAATAAAAACCATTAATATCCATTACACAAGTCTACTTCCCCCTACCTCCCCCCATCCTCCAAAAAAACAAAAAAAAACAACAAAAGGGGAAAAAAGATCTGCAATGCACTTTTGTAGTGCAGAAAAAAAGAGAGGTTATGCCCATAAGTTAAACAGAAAATAAGAAGGAACTAAAAACTATATATTAAAGGCTTGTTCTGTTATTCAACATAGAAGTAACATGGCATGTTAACCATTACCTATACTTTGGTTTGACTGATTCAAACTCTTTCACCTCACGTGCACTGTGTCCTTGCTCAGCTTCCTCCAGATCTCCAACCGTTTTATCTGATGATTGAGACCCCACAGAAGCATGTGCAGCAACTGGGGGCACATTCCGTGTCAAGGATGTAGTCACATCACGGGTTTCCTCTGAAACAGCAAATAAAATCCATTAGATCAGTATTACATGGTAAGATTCTAAACTTACAAGAAAACTCTCCCGAACAAGTGTGCTCTAGGTGAGGGATGCTTCACAATCTGACATCTGACCTAGAATAATAATATATAGCTTACTGCAAATTAATTTTTCATTTTGTATGTGTTTGTGATTGTATGGGATAAGTATACAGCAGATGATCAAAGCTAGTTCCAAATGTAGGTATGGGCATGTACATACCTGCAATACGGTCATCACACTCTGTAATCAATTTGGTGAATCTTGAATCATTTTGTGCTAAAGAAGCACCCTTTTCCAGAGCTGCCTTGGCAGTATGATATTCTTCAAGCTTAAAGCATGCAGTGCTGGAGAAAAGGGTAAGTTACAAAATTAATTATTGAAAGGATTGTTTTGAAGAGGGATGTTTGATATCATGCAGTTGCGTGATAGTTAGAATAATATTAATCCACTTCAACAAAAATCTGAGGGGTATAATATGCAACTACTTAAATGGAATCAATTCATATCACAACATAAATGGTCTAGATAAAGTAAACTAAAAAATGAAGGGGCGGGGGGAAAGAACTTCACAATGGGTACAAAAAGTGAGTTAGATGTGTAGACAACTCAGAAAAGGATATGTAGACAACTACACCAGTTTGCAAAGAATCTTAGCCATTTTGCACAGGAAGCAAAGCCAAGGATAGATATAGACAACTAATACAAGAACTAATTCTGATGGAAGTGATGAGTTATATGTGTGTTCGAGCTTGATCTCATGCATAAAAAATTTAAGGATAAGGGAGTATAGTTTACTCACCCTTTGCGAAAGTATGCCTTGGCCATTAAAGGATCCAACTCAATTGCTTTATTCGCATCAGCAACAGCTTCTGCTCATCGGATGCACATAAATTGCAAGTTAATTTCAGAACTCGAAATGAAGATCGTAGCAAAAAAATAAACATAGGCACATTTCTAGTTAATACACCTCCGCACGGATGTTCTTATCGAAAGAACAATATCTTCAAAACAACAAAATAAAAGGATGAAGAATTAACAGAAATCCACCCACAAACAAGTGTTGTCAAAATCGTACGACACATCATTACATGTTGTATAAAAAAAGATACGGATCAAGGACTCGTAAAGCTGGTAGCTTGAATCTAATTTGATTGAATTTATATACACCTTACTGAACAATTTGGTCATTGATTATATGATTTATTAGCTTATTTTTGCAATATATTTATATATATTATTTATATGAAAATACTTATTTTTTAATCCATATTTATAAATGTAAATGTATCTAGCGTTTCATATCACAAACTCGGAGTAACAAGTATGAACCAAGCAGATATAGTATAATTAACATAAAATCCACAAACAAGCTGTCATAAACTATCAAGTATTTCATATCACAAGCTCCAAGTAACAAGTATGAACCATATATAATACAATATACATGCAAGTAAATTACAATATAGAGATAAACACAATTAACCGAATTGCAAATTCCAATTTAACAATAATACATTCAAATTAAACCACAAACAGAGACGAAGATCAAATCTCGCAATTCATCACATACATATATGAAGAGAGAGAGAGAGAAGGGGATTTGTAGTACCGGTGAAGTTGTTAAGCTTCATATTGGCCTGAGCGCGGTCAGCGAAGAGATCAGCGCTCTTAGGGTCGAGATTAATCGCCTGCGTGTAGAGATCGACGGCCAAGTCAAAATCGTCGTCAACGAATGCTTCTTTAGCTTTTTCTGCGAGATCAGTCGCCATTACAGCACAGAAAGCTTCTCTGGAGACACCACGAAACAACTGTGAATTCAGGAAACCAACAGACTCGGAAGTTGAAGAGAAATTATAGATACATATATATATACACACAGGGCTGTGTATGTGTAGAGGGAGAGAGAGAGAGAGAGATGCGTTTCGGATTCTAGAGACTTCTGTTGAACCCGTATAGAATGTATAGAGAAAGAACCCTGTTGCTTTTTAGGATTGGTTCACTGGGAATTTCATGGATTTCTTACTATTTTTTTTATTTTTTTTTATAAAAAAAATTGGAATTATCATTGTGCAGGGAGTAAATATTAAGACAAGCCCGCACTCTTTTCTTTCAAGTCCCTTTCTGTCTGATCGATCTGCGAGCACAACGGTGGTGAGCTACCCGGCGATGTGTGGCCGGAAAACCCCTCCGACGATCAAGTTAGACACACACACAGGGATAGAGAGAGAGAGAGGACTGAGTTGTGTTTAGTGTTTTTCTCACCAAAATGTCATCTGTCTAGTATGGGGGGCGCAGACTCGCTTATATACCTTCTGCGCTCCAAATCTACTCTCATTAGTCTCTCGACACGTGGTGCTGATATCCCATCTGTCAGCACAAATCTTGCTAAACATCACCTAACCCAACTGCCAGCCCACTCTACTGGGAGCTCGGCAGCGGAATTGTAGCATCCCTGCTGCCAACGGCCATGCTGCACTTCAAGCCCAACCGTTCCAATAACCAAGCTCATTGAGGACTGGGCTCGGCTGCATCCCGGCATAGCCAAGCTCGGGACAGCTCATATTAGTTTGCCACCGGCTTTCCTGCCAAGCTAACTCATGAACCGTGGAACCTACACGCCTTGCCTGGCGCCGGTCATCTTGCTTGACCGGCTTCTATACCATGAAGCCAAATAGCTCGGTCTAACCACGCCTTGCCTTAACCGAGCAAGACACTTCAGGATAGGGCTGTTTCACCGCGACCCAAACTTGTTCAGCCCAAATCTGCCCGGCCATTTCCACGGCCCAAACCAGACCATAAATCTCCCTCTCAATTGCCCCTTAATTCTGTTCGCCAAAGTGTGACTGGGATTACCTGGTATAACCGGGGTAAATACTTCCTCGATTCTCAGTTTTGCAAGAAGTCGACCGGGCTAATTTCTGTGCTCGGTTCCTTGTCTTGCTCGGTCGACGCCTCGTCTGACCTTCTTGTATCTTGACTTGTTCGGTCGACGCCTCGTCTGACCTTCCTGTCTCTTCAGCTCTGACACTGCCATTAATGGAGACACGCGTCGTGCGTTGATTGGCCTCAAGCCGCCAACAGTCACGTCCCTTCAATTCAAATTTTGGGTGGCCTTTCCACCCCTATAAACATGCCCCATCTCATTTCCTTCCATTCTTACTGTCTCACCTTAAACCTTCAACGTTCCAGAGCTCAAGCATTCCCAGCAAGCTTTACTCCTGCCCTTTCTTGCACTCGTGCTCGAAGAAGTAATCCCTGCCCTCAATTGGTAAGTCGTTCAACTCTTCTTATTGTCATTTCATTTGATATTACTCCTTTTAGAGCACCAAATCCGTAGGTTTTAGGACATAACCCTCTCAAAACCCACATTCGCCCCTATTCTCTTCGTTGTTCTTCAATCCCAGTAATGAACACATGAATACACGAAGAACTGGGACGGATCGGGCTCCAGGTCGCCTTTTGATCCCAAAATACAATAAGACCGAGCAATTTACTAGTTTACCAAAACCTTTAGCAGAAACTGGGGTAGGCAGGGAACTTAGCTGCTCGACCGGGCTAACATCTGGTCCGCTTGAGCGACCGAGCTCCTTGGTTCACCTTCACGACCAAGGTGGTTGGCACTCTTCATGACCGAGCTAAAGTCAAGCTCGTTTTGCGTGACCGCGCTCACACTTACAACTGCCATCATTTTCCTGCAGAGTCCAAGGGGACCACTGACCAAATATTGAGGCTCTCAAAGACCGAACAGCCATCAAGACACCAGTCTGTGCCAAACCACCTCGGTCGAGCTAATCTAGCCGGCTACACATGGGGCGCTTCCGTTTCCTGGTTGACACTCCGGCTGCCTTGGCCGCGTTCCAGGAAGACTACGGTATCCCGGCAGACGTTCACCTAGAGCTCGCCGAAATTGAGACAATCCCTTGGAGCATATTAGACAAGTGCCCCTTCACCATGCTTTCCATCATTGAAGGAGGCCTCCGCTTCCCGGTCAACCCTCTGCTGACCAAATTCCTGCGCCGTACTGGGCTAGCACCCACACAAGTATCAACCAACACCTACCGAATAATCAACGGCATCCATGAGCTAAATAACCGGCTAGGAACCAACTTAGGTTTAGCCGAGATACTGCGACAGTACACCCTTGGGCACACCGGCGATGGCCTCACCTATTACTTAAAGATTAGGCCAGGAAAAGAAAAAATAGTGACCGGTACCCCAGACAAAGACTTACACGACGACGACTTCTTCTGGGTGTCCGGCAATTATGAAACAGTCGACGTACCGGGCTGGTTCATTAGCAAGAATTTCAGCGAGACATGTAAGCCGAGCTAACTGGCTCGGTTAATTGCTTTTGTTCCATATTCTGTATTTTAACATTTTTCTTCTTTCCTTTGCAACGATCCAAGCCTTACAAGCCAACTACCACTACCCCAACGAAGAAGCCATCCAGACCATGCTCCGCTACCACCACCGGGATTGTAACGAGCTACTCGGTTACGTCCCAACATATAGATACTCAACTCCGCGCCGGAGTAAGGTCACTGACTTCCTCCGTGCTCCATCACCTCCTCCAAACCCAACACTATCGGACGTGCCCCTAATCCGGTTAATCGAAGAAGAAGAGATGGCAAAACGAAGCCATATCAAGAACCTCCTCACAACAACTTCCACCGAGATGCCGAGCGTCATCACCCGCTTTCCAACTGCCGGTCAATCCAACGGGGCCGTGGTTGCACTAGCATCTCCTACTACCAGGCAAGCCAGCCAAGACAATCGCCGGGCTAGGAAACGGCCTCGTGCAGACCCCTCTACCGAGCTAATTGAAGAGCTGACTACCGAGTAACCCGCCGTCACCGTCGACCCGACACCGGCATGGCGACCGCAGCTCAAACACCGGGGTAAGGAGATCCTAGCCACAGCTTCCGTGAAGGGCGACAAAGAACATCTTCTCACCTTTGACCTCTCCAAGGCCCTTCTCCTACCGAGCAACGTAGTCAGCAGCGACCATGTTCCAGACACCTGGTTTGTGAAGTCGGCCGTGAAGTCCATGACTAGGGTAAGAGTCTCAAACTTCTACTCAAATTTTCACAAGTGTTTGCACGGTTTCCTCTTTGATCAATCTTTCTACTCGCAGGTCATCCAGAAGTAACACTAGGTCATGGAGCGCATTCATCGACTGCAACAAAAGGCGAATGACACAGCCAGCCAAGTTCAAAGCCTTCAAACCGAGCTTGGCCGAGCAAAGTCTTCACTGCAGATAGCAAACGCAGACAACTCTCGGTTGCTCGGCCAACTTGGTGACACCAAGAAAGAGAGGGATGTGCTCCAAGTCGAGCTGGATGCACTGAAGAAGTCCAAAGAGAAGGAGCTGGAGGACGCAAATAAAGCCGACTTCAAGGAGGCCGATGATAGCTACAAAAAACAAGTCTTTGCCACCCAAGATATATACTTCAAAGCGGGTTGGAAGTCTGCTTGCGATCAGCTCGACCAAGGCCCTGGGACCGACGTGTTTGCCTCTCCGCCGGCTGTTTTCCTACCGACCTATCTCGTGCCGTATGCCAACGACGTCTTCAGCGCGTTGCAGGCAAGGCCGAGAAAGGACTCGAAGGAGAAACCGAGGCAAATGTTGAAGAGTAGGATCGCCAAATGGAGGAGCAACCCAGCCAAACTGAGACCGGTGTCCAAGACCAATCACCAACGATCAACTTGGAGGCAACTGAGGATGAATTCACCAACCTTTCCTCCTTAGCTTAGTTTTCTTTTTCTTACTTTGTGTCTGAACATGTAACCGGGCTAAGTTCCCCACCTTTTGTACTTATTTTCATATCAATGAAAAAACTCTAATTTTATCAAGTGTTTGCACGGTCTTAAAGCTGAGTAACTTCAATCGAACAAAATACTTCGACAACACTAACCATCTTGCATAACTTAATTAACCGGAAAAAACATCTCGGTTGCAAGCATATAATTGAATAAATCATCAACTGTTTCAATCGGAACAATACATCTTGGTTTGAATAAATAATCAGCATAGTCAACCGGAGTAAATCATCACGGTTACAATCTCAGAGTTGAACAAAACATCAACTCGTTCAACCGGAATAAACCATCTCGGTTGAGAATCTTCAAAGTTGAGCAAATCATCAACTCGTTCAACCGGAATAAATTATCTCGGTTGCGATCTCAGAGTTGAGCAAATCATCAACTCGTTCAACCGGAGTAGATCATCTCGGTTGCAATCTCAGAGTTGAGCAAATCATCAACTCGTTCAACCGGAGTAAATCATCTCAGTTGGGAATCTCAGAGTTGAGCAAATCATCAACTCGTTCAACCGGAGTAAATCATCTCAGTTGCAATCTCAATTAAAAAGCAACAATCAGAATTCTAAGGCAAAGATGAGACACTTCTATATATTGACAGAAAGAATATTACATTCTGAAGTGTAAGGCAAAAAATTCCTTTGCGCGAAAAGAAAACAAAAGCTAGAAATGATACAGTTTGAGGTTGGCCGCATTCCATGGCCGGGGTATTCCTTTACCATCCAAGTCCTCCAAGTGGTATGCCCCCTTGCCCGCCAGACCGGTTATCTTGGAGGGTCCTTCCCAATTTGCCCCTAGTTTGCCTTCACCTGGCACCAGGGTATTGCCCATGACTTTCCTCAAGACCCAATCACCTACTTTGAACGGTCTGGGGTGCACCGTTTTGTTGTATTTCCTTGAGAGCTCTTGTTGGTAGGCGGCCACATGGATGAGAGCCTTTTCTCGGCGTTCGTCCATGAGGTCCAATTCCAGGGCAATGGCTTCGGCGTTCAGCTCGGGCTCAAAACTTTCACTTCTGAGGGTGGGCATTCCAACTTCCAAAGATATGACCGCCTCCATGCCATATGCCAAAGCAAAAGGAGTTTCCCTGGTAGATCGCCGCGGGGTTGTTCGGTATGCCTAAAGGACGC